TGGTGAAAACCCATCTCCACTAAAAGTACAAAAATTAGTTCAGCATCGTGGCAGCTGAATAGCTGTAATCGCAGCTATTCAGGAGGCTGAGGCAGGAAAATCACTTGAACCCAGGAGGCAGAGGTTGCAGTGAGCCAAGATCCCACCATTGCCCTCCAGCCTGGGAAACAGAGCGAGACTCTGTCTCAAAACAAACAAACAAACATACTCTGTCTCCCACCGCAGAACGTAAGCTCTGTGAGGGAAGAGACTGGATCTGGCTTACTCGCATCGCATCTATAGAACATAGAATAGTACCTGGCACTAAATAAAGATTTGTTGACTAAATGATTAATAAGGGGGAATACACCATGGCATCGGGGAATATAAGGTTCTCTTTAGGTATAAATCTGAGGAATTTATTTTTTTAAAAAACTAAACAACACAAAAGACATTGCATCCTAAAACAGCTTATATGAAAGTTACAGCAACATTTTCCTATGGCAGAATGGAATCTTACCTTCCAGCTACAGAAACATGACTTTGGCTAAAAGAAGGATCTATTGGATATAAGCCCCAAGCCCCCGTCACTGAAGTAACTCACATTTGGTTGTATTCTACAGAAAGTTCTTTCCTCCATCCAGGATTAAACCTAATGGAAGAGAATACTTTGGAAATATTTGCTTACAGTGCTGACACACTGTCAGCCAAGCACTGTATTATTTGGCAAAATCACATCTTCACTGCACAAACCATATGGAGTTCTGCAAAGCCAGCTACTTAGTCAGTGCAGTGCAGCTTAAGGCAGGGAAGCCCATGGCGGGGTATCCCCATTTTGAAATCAGAGTGGCTTGCTGATCTGTCCCTTAATTTCTCCACAATTGCATACCTTTGCAATGAAGATTCCTGCATCCATTATGGCCTTAATGTGCCTTAGCCAGCCAGAGTTCTCCAGACCCCACAGGAAGTCACTCATGGAGGGAGATTTAAGTTCACACACTGCAAGATAAATCATGTTATAAAAGCAAAATTAAGGTAGGCTCTCATTTTACATATGATCATGTTTAATAGGTAGTTTGTTAATGATTCCTTTGTTATATTAGGTATTTTCTGGAAGACTTAAGTCAAAATACCCATGTTTACTAAACTTGATTCTATTGAACCATTTCAAGGAAGGCTTCTTTGGTCACGGGGAATACTACACTTGTTTACAAGTATATATGTAAAGTTGAAATCCTAATATTAATGAAAATCATTAAGAGTTCTGGCAGAAAACATCTACTTGCCTTTCCAGGAAAGATATTAAAAATGGGGCACTAAGGAATACTTGAATTCAGAGTGCTATGGGGAAGAAATCATATAACTAATTGTAGCAGATACCCACTTAGAAGTTTCCATCACCCAGCCACTTCAGGTTAGGAGTGTTGTAAAAACAAAACAGAGCGATCCTAAAACTCTTAAATGCACATGATTAAACTCCTCTTGCCAATAACTCCCACCCAATAGGAGTAGGGCCTATAAGCTTAAAAATAAGATGTACACCTCTGATCCAATTCTACAGCATCAGGGTAGGGGCTTTCCCTTTGGGTGAAAAGGAAGAAAACCTAGGACCCCAATGATATCTATATTTACCCAACTAAGGCAGGTGTATAAACACTTCACTAATATTACAGACCACCAACTTTCACCTGAAGAACTTCTTTTATTTAACATAAAGCATTAAAAAGCTTCAGAGCTAGTGTTCCAAGTACATATCACAAATACTGCATTCCAAAGACAAGGTTTAGACCTATAAAGCCCTATCAAGTCGTATCAACCAACGACTGAAAATGTAATCTACAGATCTTCTAGTTTATTTTATTGTACTCTGTAACACAGTAAACACATATAGGGAACAGGGAGCCCTTTTTCCTACCCCCAACTCCATGAGCAATGAGCTGTGTAATCTTGTACGTGTTATTCCACTCTGAGCCTCAATTTCTTCATTTTTAAAATGGGGAAGATGTACTAAATTATATCCTTCCAACTCTAAACCCCCAAGTTCAACTGTGAACTCTTTGAAAGCACTGTGCATATGGAACACATGGCAACCATTAACAAAAATATTTTATCAGATGCCCTGCCTCCAAGTACGCAGATCATAGGATTCACTCTGATTTCCTGCAACATAAAAGCCACACACACCAGCATAACTAATCACATTCTGAGACACAGATGACAACAACATTGAAGGAAATAACACTGAAATTCCCAGCAAAACCCAACCTAAGAAAACCATATTATGAGTATGTTCAGGCAAGATTCCAAAATCTTCCTTCTAAAAGCCTGCCCTGAGCTGGAAGCACAGCTCTGAAGACCTAATAAGCAGTTGGTGAAGTGAGGGCCCTCTGAATTCTCTCTGGCTCGGAGCACTGCCTTTCTTTCCAAGGCCACAGTGTTGTCCGCTCAGCACCTTAGGCCCAGCATCACAGGCAGGAAGACACTATGTGTCTGTTAATTACATGCAGAATGGTAAAGAAAATGACGCTTAGTGGAAGGCCTGTGAAAAATATGCAGACTGATTCACAGTCCTTATGGCTCTATTAGTCCTGTATCCCTGAACAGTCAGCTGTGGGCTGAGAATTTCCAAGCTTACAGTTTTAATCAGTAAAAGTTAGGACATATTTTAACATGTAAAGACTAAAAAGTAATATAACACACCCAGACAATGAAACACTATTCAGTGATAAAAGGTGATGAGCTACCTAAAGACGGAAGTTAAATGCGCAGTGCTAAAGGAAGGAAGCCAACTTTTCATTGAAAAGACTGCATATTATATGAAGTCAATTGTGTAATCTCCTAGAAAAGGCAAAACTATGGAGACAGCCAAAAAATCACTGGCTGCCAGGGTTTAGGGTGGTGAGAGGAATAAACAGGTGGAGCCCAACAATGTTTAGGGCAGGAAAGCAATTCTATCCACTATGACAGTGCGTACATTCATTATTAAACATCTGTCAAAACCCACAGAATGTCCAACAGCAAGAGTGAACCCTACAGTGGACTTGGATACTGATGTGCCAATGTGGGTGCACTGCTCGCAACAATGCCCCGCTCTATGAGGGACGTTAATGATGGAGGAGGCTGTGCATGTGTGCGACCAGGGCGAAATGGGACCCTCTGTACCTTCTGCTCAATTTTGCTGTGAATCTAAAACTGCTCTTTAAAAAAAAAGTATTTAAAAACATAATCATGTAACAGACACTCAGCTTGGCCACAACTGCTTCAGATCTCACTTAAGAAATAAACAACACAAAACAGAAAAAAAAAAAGGCTGGGCACAGTGGCTCATACCCATAACTCCAGCACTTTGAGAGGCCAAGGCAGAAGGATCATTTGAACCCAGGAGTTCAGACCAGCCTGGATAAAGTAGTGAGACTCAGTCTCTACAAAAAAGATTTTTAAAATGCCTGTAGTCCCAGCTACTTGGGAGGCTGAGGAAGACGATCACCTGAACCCAGGAGTCTGAGGCTGCAGTGAGCCATGATCATGCCACTCCACTCCAGCCTGGGTGATGACAGAGCCAGATTCTGTCTCTTAAAAAAAAAAAAGATACAAATAAAGTCTCGTGTTCTCCTGCTTCTTTTCTTTGAAGTTTGTTAATATACCCAAGAATTTTTTGTCCTTTCACTACCTACATACTAGCTGTGTGGGCTTGAGCAAGTTACTTAGCCTCTCTGTGCCTCACTTTCCTCAGATGTAAAACGGTAACAGCCTCTGTATCAAAGGGTTACTATTATTTATGTTAGCCCTTGTTACTACTATTATCCTCAAATATTTTATATGTATTCAAATTTACATAAATGTCATAGTCTTTGTAGTTTGTTTTCATCCAACTTTTTCAGATATCCATATTATGTAAGTAAATTTCATTAATTTTAACAGCTATATAATATTCCACTCTACATCTCAAATTATCCATTCCCCTACTGTTGACAATTGTTTCCTCTTTTTCAATATTTACAAACAGTACAGTTAAAAAAAATCTTTTTACAATCTCCTTGTGGAAAGTCTCCCTGTACCTGGACTTCTATAAATTAAATGGGCTAGGTCAGAGAGTTCCTACATCTTCAGCTCTATCATATACAGTTGGCCCTTTGTATTCTCGTACTCCACATCCTTGGAGCCAACCAACCACAGAGCAGAAATATTTGGGAAAAAAAAGTAACAATAACAACAGAAAAATGATGCTAACAGAAAACAATACAGTGTAACAACTGTTTACACAGCATCCACACTGTGTCAAGTGTTGTAAGCTAGAGATAATCTTAGATCTATGGGAGGAAGTGCATAGGTTCTATGCAGACACACCGTGTTATCAGGTAAGGGACTTGAGCATGTGTGGATTTGGGAATCTGGGGACTGGAAACAATTCCTCTTGGATACTGAGGGATGACTCTTGCCAAATTGCTCTTGAAAAGGGCTGCAGTGGTTTTTGATCTCACCAGCAGGGTGGTAATGTTCCTTTACCCATATCCCAACTAACGTGGGGTACTGCTGATGCTTTAAGTTGTGCCCATCTTATCATATTTCTCTAAGAATATTAATGCCAGTTTTTGTTTGCTTCTCTGGATTGAATTTTGTTTTCTAGACTTTTGAAAATTTGCTTGCTTACATATGTGTGTTAGGGAGTGTGGTCTCTGTCATGCATGTTGAGCTTTCCTCAATTTTCTGGTAATTTCTGCCTGTCCATTCACATATAAGAGCCTCACACAGGAGGCTGGCTGGCAGTGCCGTGTGCCATGTGCAGGCTTTCTTAGCTGCCAGGCTTTTCGATGGGGGATTTGGCTAATAAAACAATCTGCAAGTCCTTTGTCTTGGATGTTTGCAGGCCCCAGCATGGAGTCTTCCAAACACCTGAGTGCATCACATTGGATGCCAACTTCCTGAGAGGAGAACTGGGGCAGTAACCATGGGCCTCATTCTTCTATACTTAGACTCTCACTTAACCTGTTTTTCCCTGGCATTCCCTGCCCCTCTTGCAGCTTTGCCTCGTGCTCCTGATCCCAGAGTCCCTGTAGTCAACGTTTCCAGAACGGCTGACTTTCCAGAAAGCGTATAACCATCTTCTCTTGTGGAAGTATGGGAAGAGCCTTCACTAGGCTGTGCCGGGGAGGAAGGAGGCTTGGATCCAATGAACTGCTTCTTGTGCAAACGTTCGGCTAGTCCCAACACCTGATAGCTCTAATTCCAGAGATCGTCTAAGGATCTGCACTTCTATTTGGCTTACTTTGGGGGTTCTCATACTTCTGCCGTAAACTGCAGCCTTTTTTTCTAGTCTGTGGCATTACTTATCACTCATCCATTTATGTTGCAGCTTTTATATTTTTCGTTTCCATTACCTCCTCTTCCAATCTCTTATCCTTTTGTATTTTTGCCTTTTTTTCCATTTCATTATCACTTTAGTGGGGAGTCAGAAGGAAGTGGGCAAATTACTGTATGTTGTGTTTAACTGGAACAGAAACAAGAAATTACTTTGGGCCTGTGCAAGCCATCTGCTGGAAATGAGATTCCCTACATCAAACTGAGCTGTTAACAAAAAACCACTCATGCACTCAGGGCGCTGACCAGGAAGCCAATCTCTGCCCGGACCCGGCATGAGGAAAAGAAAAATCTGAAACCCTGGGCCTGGTCTTGCACATGTTTGGGATCCAAACACACCTTCCTTATGCACAGAAGCCCCCAAAAGGAGGAATTCTCATGTTGGGCCAAAAATCTCAGACGGCCAGCAGATGCAAACCAAAAGCTGCTTAGGAGCAATGATTCCACGATTCTGTAGAATCCCACAGAAAAAGCTGCACTGAAGGCAAGTTTACAACATACCAGAAAACAGCATTCATGATGATGGCAGCAGGCAGAGGAAAAAAGTTGCAGGATGAGCAACCCAAGAACCCGATATGATAGAACAGTCATCTGGAACAGTATGTAACCTAAAGATTATTGGAACTGGAGCAGGAGGATGGAAGGCTCCCACACACATAACGGGTGGTGTTCCTGAAGTGTCTGGACTCACTCTCAAGTGGTTCCAGGAGGAATCCAGTGGCTGTTGGCCACTGCAGTGGGGTCCCACCCTATCATGTCAGCTAATTCACAGCCAGGCTTCCTGAGAGTCTCTAGTCTGGATGGTTCCAGGTTAGGGTTTGCTACAGGTATTTTGCATATTTGGAAAGTGACATGAAGTGGCAGCTGAAGCAGCCATCCCTGCCCACTCCAATCTGTCCTCACTGCCCTGCCTCTGAAGGCCAGTCCTGTGCCCCCAGGGACACCTGACACAGGAGAAGCAGCCTCCACAGGCGTTCCCTCCAGCCCCGACTGCAGGCCTTTGCCAGTGACTTGTCCTCTGCTCTTCCAGGCACCCAGCTCTGCACCCTCACATCCCCAACGTCTCCTGAAAACAAGGCCCTTTTCCAAACCACTGCTCACTGTCCTGCTTCCCTGATCAAACTCACTGACACTTCCGGATCTTTTTATCAGCAGGGATTTCACATTAGCTTACTCTGCCATCTTGGGGAAATAGGAAGACCTCCTTGTTTCACTTAGATTTTAGTATCACGTGAACTAAACTGTACCTCTGAGTAATAATCATGACATACGCATGGGCAATAGCATGTAGCAATGTTTCAGGGCTTCAGAGGCAGACACAGCTGCACTCAAACTTCAGCTCTGCCCATGCCCAGTAACTTGGGCTAGTTACTGAGCCTTGCTGTTTCAAACAGAAAATGGGGATAAAAACACCTTCCTCAAACAGTTGTTGTGAAGATGAAATAAGATAATACAAATAAGCATTACATTGCCATAAAGAAGATTCCCAAAAATGGTGGCTGTGATACATATTTTATTATCTGTCCCTCCAGCACAGTGTCCTGGGAGGAAGGAGGTGTTAAGACTCCCTTGAACGTGTGAACGCCGAAGTTTGAAAAGTTAAGGCACGAAGTGATCAATGGCAGAAAGACACCTCAAATGCAAGTCTTTCAAAGACAAACCTAGAGCTTTTGCCACCACAACATAGCTGCCTTGGTGGGCTACAGACCAGATACCAGACACTCTTCTAAGTGCTTTATATAGATTAGCCTTAGCTTTTCAATCCTCAAACAATCATTATGAGGAACGCACTTACTATTCTCATTTTTGATGGGTGGAAACCAGCGCAAACAGAGGGTCAGGGCTTGTCCAAAGTCTCCCAGCTGATGGATACGTGGTGAGGCTCTGATCCAGTCTGGCTCCGGGGTTCATGCTCTTAATCAATGCCTGTCAACCTCAGCTTGTTATTTTTTCATAATTCAACATGAACCAATCTTGGTTCCCAAATACCAACAGTTTAAAGGCTGTGCTTTCTATTACTTATAACAGTGCCATCCTAATGTATCACTAGCCACATGTGGCTCTGAAACACTTGAAATATGTCCAGTCTGAATTGAGACAAATATGCTATAAGTGTAAAATATAAGTCAAAATTTAAAGGCATAGTACACACAAAAAACGCAAAAACACCCCTTTCTTAGCTTTTTATTCTGACAATGTTGAAATGATAACATTTGGGATATGCTGGGTTAAATAAAATGTTATTTAAATTAATGATATAAATATTATACATATTTATATGACATAAATAATATGAAAATTTCTTTTTACTTTAATGTGGCTATGATAAAGTTTAAAATTCTAAATGTTTTCTGCATTTGTCTTGCATTATACTTCTATGCACAGTGTTGACTTAGATTTCTCAAGGAAGTTTAATCAGCAGTCTTCAAACGTTTCTGCACATGTGCCTCTAAAACATATTCCCTTATACATCCTGAGATGTATAGCAAGACTGAGGGTGTGATGAAGGAAGGGTATGCTTGTTTTTTTGTAAGGTGGCAACAAGGCAATCAAGAAGGGAGCTGGGAAGGGAGACCCAGCTTAAAGCTGGCCCCAGGGGCATTCTGAGGCAGGTAATGTAATCGTAAAAAGGATATATAGAAGTTGATGATGTAAAAGCTGAATTCCATAAAGTAATGTACCCAGGGTGAACCTCAAAAAGTCTTCCTATGAACTCAGGGGTGCATGGACCCAGCCAGAAGACAGCAGAATCTGATACAAAGGATAAAAGGCTAAATGCCAGCCACAAGGTAAAACTGAGCAAGCCCTGTCCTTCTAGAGATCTGTAGCCTCGTGACAATGCCCAGCAATACTGGAGAGGCCCTCCAAGCATCAGGCTCACTTCTGCCTGTGCACACAGCCCTGAGACACAGCCCAGTGGGAAACACGGCAAATTCCAGCACCTTCCATGAGTGCTCACCACTCCCTGCATGCCTGCTGTTTGGGCTTTCTGTCCAACCCCAGGCCGTGACCCAAAGTGTTCAACTTAATCCTAAAATACATACATTCCACTGTGTGAAGTCTCAGGATGTAGCTGATTCCTCCAGACCTTCTACAGATAACATTCGCTTGCAGTCTTTTTTTTTTTTTTTGCTAAAAAGGCCAAACTTTGAAGTTGTTATTGTAAGGCTTAGGGCTAGTTAGCAGGCCTGAAGAGTATCTTGGCCGCCAATCTCTGAGGCTCAGCCCAGGAACAAAAGATCCTTCTCTTCCCACAAGGCATGTTAATGACTGCAAGTTTAAAAATAAAGACACCAGGCTTGCCAGCTAACCTGGAGATGGCCTGCAACAAAAGCAAGAGAGGAGTGGATGGCCACAGGACCAGGCCCCAGAATGTGCTGCCAGAGAGAATGTCCCCACGCTTCTCTGTCTAGTTAGCCCTCAGCAACGGGACAGGCTGCTGCAGCTCTCACCATGTCAGCATTAAGAAGGCTCCTTGTTTAACATTCCTGTTTTCAGGAACATTAAAACTGCATGCACTAGGTAAAATAACCCCACCAGGTTCTCAAGCAAAGTGAACCACTGAGAGTGTTTTCTCTCCCTGTTTGCTGAGTGGCAGGTCGAAAAGCAAAGAGGTCTGCAGATGATTAACAGACATGGGCAGATGGGGGTCCACTCGAGACTGAAGCAATTAGCACCTGGATTTTTAAATAGAAAACTGTTGTGTTTGTTTGGATAAACTCAGGATGAGGCAGAAATACTGATTTGTTCACTCTTGTTGCCAAACCCAAACCAATATTTACAAACCATTTTGCTGAACAAAGTTCATTTCAGCTGACATCAGAGGCATATGCCACAAACTACAGACAATGGGGCTTATTAATCAGGAGTTTCATGCCCGGGTCTTATAATATTTGTTTTATATAACAGGACAACTATATGTCATAAACATATAGAAACTACAGTTAAAAAATTAAAAAGCAAAGAAAATATATATAATTTTTAGACCTCTGCAAATGTAGAATTGACTTAGAAGAAAATAAGCCTCAGATAATCTGCCTCAGGTGTGTCCTCTAACACTCTTATTTTCTCCTATACAACTGCTGGGTGGGGTCGGCGAGGCTGCAAAAGAAGTCTCCATTTGAACCCTGTGAGGCTGGTCTTTCTTGTACCCTGAGATCTGAAGTGGAAACCTACATGGCCCTCCCTTGATTGCCAGCCCAACACACATCTAAGTTCTGCCAATGTTGGATCTGTCCCTCTCCCATTTTGGAGTCATGAAGCCAAGATCCACAAGACAGTCTTCAAAGAACTGGCAAAATGATGATAATGTCCCTGTACTGAACATCCCACAGGTGAAGCCATTCAAAGAGAACTTAATCATGGCCTGTACAATGAAAGTGTTCAGTTTAGCCTACAGGAGCCCCTCACCATATACTCCAGAATACTCATTATCACTGACCTAAAGGAAATGGAGCAGCAAGTCCATAGAATAATGTGCTATTAGTATTTATGGATGTGAATTTTGTGTCTAAAGACAGATTCTCAGTATATGGTGGTAACCTGTTCTATCTTAGGTTTAACACGTGGTAAGGACGGTAAGATGTGAATATTAATTGCTGAGGTATGTGAAACTTTGCAGCAAATAAAAAGCATGCAGCTGGGCGCAGTGGGTTGTGCCTGTAATCACAGAGCTTTGGGAGGCCAAGGCAGGAAGACTGAGCCCAGGAGTTCAAGACCAACCTGGGCAATACAGCAAGACTCCATCTCTACAAAAATTTTTTTTAAATTAGCTGGGTGTAGAGGTGCACGCCTGTGGTTCCAGATACTCAGGAGGCTGAGGCAGAAGGATCACTTGAGCCCAGGAGTCAGAGGCTGCTGTGAACTACAACTGCACCACTGCACTTCAGCCTGTGCAAGAGAGGGAGACCCTCTCTCATTTTAAAAATATGTATGTGTGTGCCCATTTTTGTCACATCTGCCATATGTAAATGATGAGGCTTGGTGCTTTCCTCTCAATAAACCCTCACAAACTCCCATCTAGAGTGGATAGAATTATCTTTTTTTTTATTTTTGAAACTGAGTCTTGCTCTATCACCCAGGCTGGAGTGCAGTGGCGCAATCTCAACTCACTGTATCCTCTGCCTCCCTGGTTCAAGCAATTCTCCTGCCTCAGCCTCCAGAGTAAGTGGGACCACAGGAAACACCACCACAACCAGCTAATTTGTGCATTTTTAGTAGAGGCAGGGTTTCACCATGTTGGCCAGGCTGTTCTTGACCTCCTGACCTCTGGTGATCCACCCGCCTCAGCCTCCCAAGTGCTGGGATTACAGGCAGGAGCCACCACACCCAGCGATAGAATTATCTTGATGTATTAAGGAAGAATGGCCTCAGATGCTAGCAACACAGCAAATACACTTCGATAGAAATCTAAATCCCTTGATTCCACTTTCCATATTATTTTCACTAAAAAAAAACAGAGAATAATCAAAAGTCAATATACAAACTGAGCCAGGATGAACAGGAATTGAACTGAAGCCAGGATTCGAGGGATGTTAACATCGAAATAGGGAACGCAAAGCAAATGGCACGAGAGAAGTGGAGACTGGGAAAAGGCAGGGGTATTGAGAGGCTGGAAAGACCGGCGTGGATGTACAATGGCAGGCCCTGGAGAGAGGGCCAGGAATCCCCGAAGACTGAAGTAGTGGCTGCCAATTACTAACGCGGTAAATGAGTGGTACATGCAGGAGAGGATGCAGGGGTGGCGATCATTCCACACGCCTCATGCCAGCAGACAAAGCTTCTAGGACCAACACTCATAAACTTTGAGACTGTACTGTCACTGGCAAGCAAATATTGAACTGGCAAATGTCAACTAGAGCCTTAGGGAAAAACAGCTCCTCCTATCACTAAATTTAGCCACATCTGTCTTGAGTTTGATGGCACACACTTTCTTCTACAAGCACTCACTTTGTAATTGTCCTAGTTCTCTGATTAACAAAACAATAATTCTGAGGGTGAACATTTTAAAATTAATCTTTGAAGTATCTCAGTGAACTGCAAAATAGAGCATCACTGGGAGAAATATAGCTACTATTCTCTCATTAAATCACCTTCTTTTCTGTTGTCCTTTTGACAATGTCAAGTAAACTTTCTGGTTTTGACATCCAGTTAAAACATTCAACCATGACTTAACCAGGGAAGGCCCTCACTGAGATCACTAATAAACAAGCACGATCTTTTCTTCCAGCCTGATTTCTGCCCTATGTCAAAACTGGTTACTTCTTTCAGAGGGAATGAACAAAGCATTAGTCTACCCAATGCCTGGCATCCAGAACACTCTCAGTACCTGTCTGATGAACAGATGCATGTGGAGATAACCGTCCAGGCTCCTGTGTGTTCAGGACAGTACTCACTACAAGCAGGTATTGTGCCTGAGGCTCTGCATAAATCATCTACCCTTCAGGGCAGATTCACTCTGGATTTTCAAAATGGAAAGACTGAATTAAAGGAATTTACCAGGCCATCCATGGTTACACAGCCAGTAAGTTGAGCTGAAATCCATCCACAGCACATGCATCCATGCTCTTCCTCTAGCCTATGCCTCTGCGCTTAGTATATGATTGTCCAGATGGGCAGATCCCATCCAGCACTTGAGCAGATGCGTTCAAAATCCATCCTCATCCAATACCAGAGAGGCAAAGCACACATACTTCGTCCATGTCTTTCCTTTAAATGACTACTCTGATAGCCTGTGAAGCCTGACAGACTCGCTGTTCTAGCAGATCACTTGTCAAAAAGCCGCACAAGCTGCTATTTCCAGGTAGAGCTACCTATTTCCACTGTAATGGGAAAGTGCGTTTTGTATATGGAAACCTAGGCCATGGTGCCAAATTTTGAGAAAAAATGATGAGAAATTTCCAGTTATTATGGGTTGTCTCCTCCAATAGCGAAGTAATCTGAGGATATTAATAATGGTTAAAAACTCAGACTACAGAAAGCTGAAGAAGGATCGTATTTTCAGCCTTTCATCAGCTCACATCAGGTAGAATTTCGCAGCATAAATTTGCAGGGAATGTGATAGGAAATACTCACTTTAAAATGAAAAGCTTAAATTTGCAATATCTATGAAGGGCTGAATCCGTCTTCTATTTCCTCAAGGCTGAATTAGCCAGCACCCCATTAAGACATGAGGTAAGGAAGAACATGTCAGCAAAAAGGACATTTGAACCAAGAGCCACAAGCTCTCCTCTCTCTGAGCAGAGAGAACTACTTCATAGACACTTTAGACCTTGGTTCCTCCAAGGCGACTTGGCAGGGAAGCTAGAGCAGGAATCCGACGTGTCACCGTAATACCCACCACGAT